TACTGTAAGATAAATAAGGGGAATAGTTCCTTTATTAGTTATTACTGGTCTTCAAAAACAATGACAGCGGGTTATCAAAGACATCCCTCAATTGAAGGAGAACCAGAGGAGAAACGATAATTTCTTCCCTTTGAGGTTTGCTGGACCTTCCTGCTTAGGGGTTCGAGGGAGGTGGGGAAAAAACCTGTTTCCTCTATTCAGCCAGCCTCCAAGAGCTGTTTATATTAATCTTAATTTTTGTACTGTCCATGTATAATTCTGTGGGATTTTTCCACAAGGGTAACCTGAAGCAGGTAGCTCTCTCCAAGCCATTGTGTGCTCTCTTACATAGTTGCCTCCCAATGAGGAGCATTGCTTCCCCCAGCAGATGACTTATAGGGGCTGCCCAGAGAAGCAGAGGGAGATACAAGAGGGTAGGAGGGTTCATCAGTCTAAACTATTCTTCTTTTAAACCCTGCAACAGTCTGATTAACAGGGTGCAAAATACTGCCCCAAACTGTTACTTGGTGCCCATTCCATTCTGTATTTATGACGCATTTAGAGAGTCTTGCTTCATATACAGGCTCTAGTTTCAAAGCATCATGTTTGCAAGTACACTCAAGTGGAAATACTTGTTAAATATTTACTACCATAGTGGCTTATCCTTGGATACCACGACATTTTTCCTGCTGCTTTTCCCAAATACTGGGAAGTATGTCACTTGTGAAAGTTTACCTTGATAACTGTATAGCTAATTTTGTGCAAATAAAATCTTAAATGCAGGTATTTTACATGTTGAGAAACCTAATCTTTGCTTTGAGTAGGGTATAAAGACGAGTTAAAGCTTAAATGCTGACATCTGTCTTCTAGAAAATTTTCCATGGCTGCAAAAGCATTTATGTTTCAGCTCAACTTTTCAAAAAGGACTGTCTTATTTATGTATGTTTTATTATTGCTGTGATGTCTTTTCCAGTAAGTCACTGACATGAGAATGATTCAGTTTGATGGAGCTTCTCCTTAACTTAAACAAATTAATTATCAGAATGGAGTATGCAAATATTATCTAATCAGTGCCACTTGGCAACATTTTTGTTGTGCCAATCATGCTGGAGACAGCACAACAATCCTTGCTTCTTCTAAGAAGTCCCCTTGGAAATGGTAATAGAATGCTTGCTTTGATTGGAGTAGGCCGAAAGGATGAGCCAAAGAGCTTCAGACATATTTACATTGCAACTTTCTGTTGTGGCATTAAAACACCAGAAAACTGATTCTCCAAATTCTAGTTCAGAGACAGCTTCAGAATATAAACCAACATCTAATTTTATGCCCTCTGGGCACAATTATCTATTCTCTTTGTCATTAAGGATGAAACTCATTGTCATCTCTGATGTTTTGCATTTTAAAAATTTGAAAGCCAGTGTTTGTTTCTTTCTCTGCTTGTCCTGTACAATCTATATACCTTTCTGAAACTGCCATATGCCTCTATTAGTTTCTGCTTTTTTATTTCTTTTCAAGCAGAAGGTTGCAAGAACCATGTTCATGTTCACTGAGAAATGAGTTCTTCTCCACAAGAAGCTGCAGAAGGGTGAATCCTGAGCAATGGGGGAAGCAGTAGTTAAGCTGTTTATTTGGGTTTTATTTCTAACTACTGTGATTATGAAACTGAGTTCTCTGTGTATACCTTTGAAAGTAGGACTGTGATTAAATATTTACAGGTGTGGCATGAGGAGTAGCTAATGAATGTCTCCAGCATTTTCAGCAAACAGTAGCAGTGGTATGTAATGCATATGAAACAAAAGTGTTGTTGAGAAATCTTGCTAGTATAGTAAAGCTTTTAATGCTCTGCCTCGTATTAATATATAACAATGTCCTCAGTTAAGGTATTTCCTTCTCTTTAAATTGCCCCAAATACCACAGTATTTTAGGTCAGAGAAAATCCAATCAAAAGCTTGGGTTGCTCTATGCTTTTTAAAAAATATGTAAAAATTCTGAATTATGTGTGTCTGTTGTTTGCATTCATTTAAAAGGAAATGGCTGCATGATTTATGCTGGCAGGATTGTGTTAGAAACTGCAGGCCTGCTTCTGCATCTTTAGCGTAGGAGATGGAGCCTGGTCTGTGTGGAGAGTGGTAGGTGGTGGGATAGAGTGAAGTGCAGCAGAGCTTGAACCCCCTCTGCTTATCTGAGGAGAGCTTGTGCTGCCCCGCAACCCCTTCATACTTTACACACAGCATGGGAGGGAGCTATTACCATGAGCCCTGGCCAGTAGTACCATTTGGTGCATTATTTGCTGCAGCCATATAGCTGTGTGATGCATCTCATGAGCATGAGAGAGGAGGGGAAGTCCATTGCACAAGGTAATAATGTGCTTTCCAAAGCTCAAAATTTGCCCAGTCTTACACTGGTTCTCTCTAGACAGTGGTCAGGCAGTTGATGTCCTGCACCTGCTGCTTGTCCTGCTACTTTGGATCATTTGGTTGCTCCCTTATCTGCTTATTTGCTGTATTTGTTTGTTATGGAAAGGCCTGAAGTCTCCCTGGGGTGTGCTGAGAACTAGGGAAACTGCTTCTGCTGCAGCATGTTGAGAAACAGAGGCACTGGAAAATGTTGTATTTACTTAGTAAAAGCCAAGTGTGTCTGCTGATTCCAGTTTTCAGCTTCCATTTAGAAGACAGTTTAAAAGCCAGAAAGTTTTACATTTTCTCCTTTTTAAAAAGTTTCGTAATTTTTAATTAAACTTAATAATTTAACTTCATGGGGCAGTGATAGCTGCAAGACTTCTGTCTTGACTGTTTCTGACACCTACAAATACTTTTTTCACGTCTGTCAGGGAGAGTCCTCAACAGGGGCAACAAGCCAACATTTCCTTCTCTGAAAAGAGAGAGTCCTGCCCCTGCTGTAGGCTACATCTTTGGTTTTCATGTTTCGTGACAGTAATGTTTTTGCTGCTCAGTGGCAGAGCACAGAAGAGATGCAAGTTGAAACCTTCAAAACTTACAGTGATCCCTACCTAAAGTCCATAGGTGAAGTTTTATTGGCTTTTTAAATTTTGGTAATTTGCCTGTAATACTCCTCTAAGGTCTTTACCATTTGAAAGTTGAAAGCTGTGTGATAAAAACACAGCTGTGTGTAATGAAACACAACTTCCTTATAGAAGTCTCACTAAAAATAGCTCTGGTGGTGCCCTGGGGGTGTTCATCAGCTAGCGACAGCGACTGCATTTTCACAGCGGGCAAGCAGGGCTGGTGAGGTCAAGGAGGATGAATGTATTCCTGTGGGGAGCTTGGCAGGAGCATCCAGGTATTTTTGAGCTTTTATGGATAAAATGAGTGTGGGTTTGTGACAATACTGTTTTAAAATACCTGGAAAGCTGGAACAAGCCCAAAAGAATTCCAGTTCCATCTTCCACTGTGTGTGAGTGTTTTAGGATCCTCAGGTATCAGGTCTAGGTGACCTCTACTTATAACTTTCATGTTTCAAAACTAGAAAATTCCAACTTAATACCGATTAATGTCTGCATACTTCTTTTGAAACAGAATTGCTAAGTTACAATCCTGATTTTTGCTTTACTTTTTCTTTTCTTCTTTTGAAAACATTGCCCTGGTTTACTCTTTGCAGAATGACTCACTGAAGTGTCTGCATCACCAGAAACTAATCCCTGCTCTGCATGCTCTTCCTTTTCCAGACGATGAACCTGTAAAATCTGTTTTACAGGAAGACTTTCTGACTTCCTTATGCTCTTAAGTGCAAAATGATATCTCTTGGGAGCCTGGATGCAAGTGACCATGTTCAGCACATAGTTTGACTGAGGTGACTGCTTGATCCCTGACTTGTGCCAACAGACAGAAGTCCTGCTGGACTAGAGACTTCCCAGGTCTTGCAGGAACGTGATTACAATAAAAAGCCCCTGACAGATGTCAGCATGATAAAATTCGAGCAGTTACTGCTTTTGTTTTTGTGTGGGAGGGAAACTTCATCAGAAACAGGGATGAAATTCCAGCCTTATCTCAGGGAATGCATGTGGGTTTCAGGCACGCAGCAAGAGAAGAAAGCCAGCGCCTTTTCAGGCTTTTTGCTTCTCTCACCCTGAGCAAAGGATATTCTGCTACGTCTTAATTTTAAAGTTTTTTGAACTCTGATGGGATTTGAAATGAGTATTGCCATAGTGTGCTTGTGTTGTCGCTTCCTTTGTTTGCCTATTGCCATATTCCCTGGCCAGCTCTGTAGGAGACCTGTCTGGAGTGCCTTTTAATGTTTAGATCTAGCAGTGATTAGAATACACTGATGCCCAGTGGGTATATGTGTCATCTTTTAACAGCTGCCGAGCTTTCTCCCTGCTGCTCCAATTAACGCATTCGGTGCACATTTGCCAGTGAGTGGGCTGTGTGTATGGATTAAACCACTTTGCTATTTATTCATCCAGTGTATGAGATGCCAGAAATGGATTGGCATGTTTCCTGTTCTTACAACAAATGAAATCAAACGTGCTCCTGAGCCTTTGCCCGGGTAGATATGAGGGCAGCATTTAACTGGCGAATGGAAACCTGTTTTGCCGTGAGATATGGTTCAGTCCATTGACTAACATCTATCCCCGCCTCCCAGCCCCTCTTCAAATGATGGAGACACAGGATAGGGAGCTCTCAGTGCTGGGCTTCCCCTTGCTGACAAGCAGATCTCTTCAACTTTGTCCTCTGCTGCTTAATAACAGTGTGAAATGCTGAAATTCTCCTTTTGCTTCAATGCTTTCCTCCTTTATTTATTTTCAGGTTGAAATATTCCAGTCAGTGATAAAGTGTGTCTGTGTGTGTGTGTCCCTTTTTTTTTAAAAAAAAAAAAAAAAGGGAAAACAATATGCTTCCTAATCACAGCTGAGATAAGGGAGGGGTTGTTTAATGGTAGCGGAGCGGCTGGTGGGAGCTGCAGCTCTGCTCCGGCGCTTGCGGTTGATTCATGCTGGGACAGCTCTTTGTGAAGCACAGGGCGACGGGGGCTGCCGGCTGGGGCTGTGAGTGAGGAAGGACATGGAGCGCTTCTTGGGCTTTGTCAAGCAGATAAGAAGATCGAGAAGAAGAAAAGGCAAAAAGTACCGGCCAGAGGAGGATTACCACGAGGGCTATGAGGATGTCTACTATTATGCCTCAGAACATTTTCGAAGTAAGTGTTTTGCATAACCTCATTTTCCTTTGGCTGTGATAAACGTTATGTTCTTAAGATGTTTAAACTCCAAAAATGCAAGCAGTATTCCTCCCTTGCTAGAACCTGAGCCTCATGTATGTATTAAAGTCCGTTCCTGTGAGAGCTCTTTCTGGCTCTGCTGCCGATGAACAATACAAAGCATCTGAAGTGGCACAGAAGCTCTCAAAGTAAAGAGGGTCTGTTTGCAGACCATGGTGAGATTTCAGATGCAGTTAATCCAGTCTGACTGCTGGAAACCTTTTGTTAAAACACTGTGTTGAGGAGCGAGTAGGGTGCCTTTGGAAGGCTGTGTGGATATTTTTAAAGCACTACAGAGGCAGCAAGCACTCATTTGTAAGTTGAAGTTGATGAATAATGTTTGCTATTGAGGGAGAGTCAGTTTACTAAGCCTCTGCCATGACCTGGTCTTTCCAGTAGTGAGTAAATTGAGTGGGCTGGTTCCTCACTGCAGGTCCAAGACCACTGCTGGTGAATTAAGTGGGCATTTTTTGTGCTGGCACTCACGTGGTGGCACTCAGCAGCTCTGCCAAAACCAAAATAAACCACCCGCTCAGAAATCCCTGTGCAAACTGTATGCTGGACCCTGCAGCTTCTTAGAGTTTGTCCACTGTGCCTGTCAGGTTTCAGAGCTGCTGGTCTGCCGTGGTATTCTGGAGAAGAGAATGTGCCCAGAGGTGCCCACAGGGAGGGTGGGAAGGAGGGAAGCCACATGCAGCCCCTTCCTTGGGTCATGTGTGGCACTGTCAGGACAAGGTGTTGGCAGTGTGAAAATAATTCAGCCATGAGCAGAAATTGGCTGTTTCTGCTTTTGGCCACTGGTTTGGGACCTTTGCAGTGAAGCTGTGCCTTGTTCAGTTGCTGAAGTTTGATGCACTTTTTTTTGTTGTTCTTGTGAGTGACTGTCAGTATCTTTTTTCTTCATTTCCACTTTGCTGAAATAAATCATAAGAACCTTATATTTGTTTTAAGATAGCATGATAAATGTGATTGTACCTTACCGCACCAGAGAACTGTTATCTTGTGGAAAATTGGGGAGCAAGAGTTATTCTTATTGGCTTTCTCCCAGTGCACCATGCTTGCCTATCTTCCTAAAGTGTAGCATGCTTGGTTGTTTATGGGGCTTCTTCCTGATACAATTTTGTTTTTTTTCCATTTTTAAGAAAACTTATCGTGCTGATAATTCTAAACTATATGACTTATCTATGTTGTTAAGAGGGAGTTCTTGCAAGAAAAAGACCTATTTGGGAGGCAGTGCAGTTATAATGGGTAACATAGTGACATGAACTCTGCTACACAAAATCTACTACACAAGAACTAAAAATTTTAAATCTGTTTTGCCCTGAAGAATTTGAAAGTGATATATGTTAGTGAAAGCACGTGACTTCTCCTTGCTTTAATGTGTAAATCAAAAGAACATGTCAAAGCCTCAATATATCAAAATATTTCCCTAACTGATTCTTGTTGTTGAAGGTCCTTTAAAGAAGAAAGCAAAGCCCCTCCAAAAACTGTCAAATGTAATAAGGATTTCTTGACTGATGATTAATAAATTATTAGCTCTTAATGTATGGCGCTAAGATTGAGCTAAATATCTAATAGGTTTTTCCTTTTACTCTACTTAGAAAATAGAAGAATAGTATATACTTTAGATTGTGGAGGTCATAAGTATTTCAGACTGGATGAAATGTGTGTCAGATTTTGAAGTGATGTTTACAACAGTGTTCAAGTACTCAGATTGAATTGAACTCAAAATAGCACACATCCCTATGGAGCTGGATGCACAAGGAGTTAGCTACTTCTCACAGTTACTTAAACCAAAAAGTCACAGGAGACTTGAGCCATGCAGTCTTTATAGAGATGCCATCTCAAGCACAATTCCTCTTCAAGTGCTTTTGTCTGGTCTTTCCATGTGCTTTATGTGTCAGTGTTTTGGTTGGTGTGGTAGTTACTTAAAGCAATGCGCAAAATCTGAAAAGATGCTGCTGGTGCTACTACAAATGCACTCTTCAAATTGAATTTCATGTGTTTGGGACAATGAAATGTTTCATATTTAATTTAATTATGGTCTGGTGTTACCCTGTTTACAGTACAAATTTAGAGTAATTACAGTGCTTTTAATAGCCATTCCTTCTGCAGTCATTTACTTAGAAGAAATGTGTGTGCTTGCAGGAAGGATTGTATTTATTGTTACGATTTTTAGAATATCAGAGCTAATGAACTCAAATGCCTATTGTTCACTCAACTGAACGGAGATGAAGCTTTTTTAGATTTAGTTTCCTTTCTCTATGTTGTTAGGCATCCCTTCTCCATCATCATTTATGAGTTATATATCCAATTAGCCAGTACATTTGAAGATTGTCTGAGACGATCACTTTATGAGCTTGTTACTCTCTCTCTTCTTCCCCCATTTGTAATATGGCTTAGAGTGTTGTACAGGAAGGCAGAATTAATGGAAACATGCAGAAACTGCATTAGAATTACCGCAGGATCAAACAAAGACAACAAAGTTAAAAACAGAATAGGCCTCCGGGAATCACAGGAAAAAGGTGACTTTAGTTTGTCCTCAGCCCAGCTGTGCCTGGATACTGGGATATTGTGGCTCCCACTGTTTGGTATGCTGTCTTTACTCCTCCAAAGCTGTGCCATGGAACACCATATTAGCTGTCAGCTGGATGACGAGAACATGCAATGCTGCCTAAAGCTCCCTGAGTAAAAAAAGACACCCCAGCTCCTGAAGCAGATGTGTTTTTTCTTGGATGTTTCATCCACTTGTGTTCAGTTAATGGATAACCTTAATTTGACATGCAGCACCAGCTCTCCTATATTTCTGAACTTTCTGTGCTATGTAATGCTAGAAAAACCAAAGTAATAATTTTGGTACACAAGCACATATCGACATCAGTAGTGCAAGCATCATACTCACTTCAGTGAGACTTTGCAGTGAGAACATAATGGATGATGAAATTGCTACCCAGCCTACTCAGACAAGTTGGTGCTTATTTTATAAAACACTTTAAAAAGCATCATACTTATCTTGAGCAGCATTACAGCACTGCCATTCAACCTGTTCCTTATAACAAGGCTTTGTGTGAAAAAGGCCCTTGTTATATTATTGCAAAGTCTGTTTGCAAACCATCAGGAACACTGCGTAGCAGAACTTGCTGGAATGCTCCCAGAAATTACATAAATCCAATTGCTGAAGTTAGGGTGTTGTGCCAAGACCTTTGAGTTTCTGCCTAGTCTTGAGTGGGAGTGTGGTTTTGGGACCCAGCCCAACTTGGTCACCTCTGACCAAAACAAACACTTTTTCCCACACCCTAAAATAATTTCAGCACTAAGTCTTTATTTTTCAAAATACTTGGAAGGATTTGGGTATCTTTTTGGAACTTCACAGGTTTCATGAAACATGCAGGTCTAGAGCGTGAATGCATCTTTTTAAATTTTGCCTTATTTATGGTACTTCTGGTGTCTGTCATCCATCTCCTCAAAGATCTTTTTTTTCTCATTGGTGGTTCTTCTTATGATGTTCTCCTCAACATGGTTCACAGCATAGTCTGTTGGCATAAAGATTTTACTTTCTGTGTAGCTACAGTAATGATCTCAAAAAGCAATGTCTGAAGAATTCTGCTAGTAACCTGAAAGCTCCCATGATTTTAGCCTTGACCTTAAAATGTTCCATTTAGTCACCAGGGTCCAATAAATAACTTTCTTCTATCCTTTGTCAAGGCCTAGTATATGTTGTGTAACAAGAGCGTTGATATGTTAGACAAAGTAATCTGCCGTAGTCTACATCTGCAGTGAAGTCATGTATCATTTCCCTCTCTGATGCCCTTTATTAATTATTTCACAATTCTGGTTTAGAATCGTCTGGTTCCTCAGTTTAGGACCATCAACCTCTTCAAATTGGTTCTCTGAATACATATGGTGGTCTCCCCAGTGATTTGCCCTTCTGGCTCCCTGTGTCAACACTGGAAAGTGAAGGGAAGGTATTTGATTCCTAGCCTAGCAAATAAGGTTAAAAAAGGAAAAACTGAAGGTTTTATATGACTCAGAATTGAAAATGTCTCTTTGTTGATTGAAATCTGGGAATTATTAAAATTAAAATTGTAGGTATGATACACTTCTCAGGATGGTGTCAGCAGAAAAACTGCACTTGGGCATTATGCACAACAACAGCTCACTGTTATGGTTTAGAAACTCCCGCACCATAGCTGCAAAATGTTAGGAATAACTGTCTTTGCATTTCATACCCAGGGTAGTTTTGAAGCTGTATTAAATACATAAGACAAAACACCAAAGGGAGTGACATGCCAATGGTTTCTTAATGATGTGGTCAGTAGCAACATCACTCTTGTCAAGATTTTCTCCATTTTGTAAATTGGTAAAAATAGTTCTTGTTTGTAGCAATCTCATGGATTTGATTTGGGTTGTAGAAGAGTTAATGATTTTATGAGTCATGTGGTGACAAGGTAATTAAGTATCTCTTGCTCAAGCTGTAGAGATGTTAATTGATCCTGAGGAGGAGGAATGCAGGACAACTGCTTTTTATTTTACAATTTTTGTGCGTTGCTAGTTTGCAGTTAACTGGATGTGCATGTGTGGGGAGTTGTTCTTCACCTGTCACAGATCTTGTCATGTCAGTACAGTAAAATCTCAGCTTTCCTAGAAACTAAAGTATTTGTTGAAGCCTACAAGAAAAGGAGGCTTGGTAACCTGAGTAGAGGATATTGCAGGCTTTGAAAACACTATGAAAATAATATTTAAAAGAAATAACTAAAATTTATTTAAACTTCTTATTTCCTTCATCTTAATAACTGTTTTATGGTTGTTGCAATCTGGAGATTTTCATTAATGGACCACAGGTCTTGAGTATTTCTATTTTACACATGTATTTCTGTTTTCCACTCTTTTCCTGATATATGGATAGCCCCAATGCCTCCTTTTCATCATGGGTGTGATGC